CCCCTTGTTGTTGGGCAGGGCGACCCCGGGGTCCCCCCCCCAAGTATTGGGACACAGTCCGGGAACTGGGGTGCTATCCACTCCCTTACGCTTGGGGTATCCCACCAATGCGGGATTGTTGAAGGGGTATGGGGGACCTGTCCCATTGGACCAAAGGGCTCCGCAGCCCTTGGTCACTACCTTTAATGCCCGGCTACGATCCCCCTTCACCGTAGACATTTCCCAGCCCCCCAGTAGGGGCGGGGCCCCGAGAGGATGAGGCACACATTTTGTGTATTTAGTGACAGGGACTTGAAACCTTACTTCCAGTCTTGCACTCTCCGCCCCCCCCCCTGAATTTGCGGCGAGGCCTGCTTTGGGGCCTCCTTGCACTGCCACCACCACTTTTAGTGCACACTAACTTTTGGGAAAAGCATCGGCCAGCGCCGGTGAGGTACCCCCCCCCCCTTCCTGCTGAAGACCTCCACACAGGTGCAAGTAACGAAAAAAGCCCCCCTACCCGGGGAGCCAATGCCGGTCACCAAAATGGAAGAGCCCCGGGGCCCGGGATTACCGGCGAAATCAAATAGAAAAAAAATAGAATAAATTTTACTCTTAATTGCAGCTTAAGCAACACATACTGACAAACAAAAGAATGATTTACTTTAAAAGGGAGGCAAAAATTGCACTAAGAGTGAATTTGTTCAATGAAATATGAAAAATAATAAAGGCAAAAATGCAAAACAAAGAAAGGTTAACAATCACAGTGATGCGGAAACCCACAACACATCAATATAGGCATAATACTATGAGAATTTTCTTGCAATGAAGCTTTGGGTCAAAAAAATTTGGAAAAAAATTTGTCTTGCTTCAAACAAAAAAAGGCACTATGTCTGTGGAGATAAGACAAATTAGACACTGGCTAAATGAAGGGAATTAACACAAGAATGTTCAACACACGGAGAAAAAACATGGCAAATGAATGAAAACAAAAATAGCAAGAATACACAAATGCTGGAAGAAAAAAAATAACTGGGGACAACACTGAGTTGTGATGCAAAAATATAAGATAACAAGTTACTGAATTACTTCACTGTATATAAATTACTAGGCAAGGAACACAATACTGTGAACACAAGATAATTGTGAAGTGTAAACACAAGTTTATACTGCTTATATATTGCACATAACAAGGAAAAACATTAAAGTACTTATTTTCAAGTATATAAAAAAAATGAACACAACAAACCAGACATAAATAAAGCACGAAAATTAACACTGAAGGAAGAGGGAAAAAAATATTGTAAACAGGATATAATAAACACTTATCAAGAGTCACTGAAAAGAAATGTCACTCAGGAATCACTGCAAAATTTTCTCAACACTCGCAAATGTCTATAAAAAAAAATATTTATTTTCACTGGAGCGGTAGTGGTGAGAGTGAGGAAGGTATTTGGAGTCTCGTGGCTGTCGCGGTACTCGCTACTACTCTCCACATTTTGATGCTCGATGAATTTGTGCTTAAATCGATGGTAGACTCACACAGGAGGCTTTTACGTAGGCATACAGGGTCGAAGGAACACTCTTGTCTCTTGATCCCCTATGTAATCTGTAAAATATGGTGCTAGACCCCATGATAAGGGGTTTAAAAAAAGAACAGTGTGGTGGGGAGGTGGGTGAGTGCTTGAGGCAGCCACGCTGAGACACCGCGTGGTGACTGGGCCTATGGGATGAGTGGCGTAAGCCACTCTGGGGACACCCACACTAAGCACGAAAATATTCTAAGCTGGGCTAGCTTAAAAAAAACAAAAATACCACAACACCACAGGGATGGTAAAGCACTCAGAACAGCTAGAACTGGAAGCACAAAGCGATGGAGAAGACTGTACCCACATGGCTTGCTTGAGTACTGGGTTAAGTAACCTGGGTTAGTTGCTGGCTGGCTTGGCTTAACCCTTCACACAGACTGGCTTGGGAACTTGTAATGATGAGCACAGCAGGGTGGAAAGCTGGCTTAGGGGCCAAGGCTGGGAAAGGTGTAGAGCTGGGCTGGACTCCCCCACACAGACTGGCTTGGTGGCTTGGCTTACCTTGCAAACCTGGGTCAACCCCTCGAAAGTAATGCAAATAAGCAAATAAAACACTAAGACACAGAGACTGACCAGTAAGCAAAGTAAACAGGCTGGTGGACGCTCGACTGGGGTAGCTGGCTTGGGATGTTGAGCATCACCCATCTCGTGAGGCCTAAAAGTCACAAGATGGCGACCAGCTCAGTAGAAATTTATCTCCAGAAATCGCTGTAATCATCAGAATTACATCCCACCGCTACCACCATTTGTAGTGGGGGTTCGTAGGAGATGTGATGGTTGGAGTTAAACACAATTGTTGGGAGGTATCACATATATTAGCAGAGTATGAAGGGAGAGAGCCCAAACTGCCTTTTTCTGTCGCCTGCTTGGATAACGGAGAACTTTAGGTTGATGCAGTGCGTCACACACACTCATGCAGGATCACGTCATACAAACTAGTCACTAGGCCTGTATATATATATAAAACATATGGATGGTACTATGATACTCAGATAAGCTATACATATACAGGGGATCAGTAACTATGCTGACACTTCAAGCAGAACTCCTTTTCCTGTACCTAACCTGGCTATCCCCAACAAAAAACAATATTCTTATCTCCCTTGGTGTCGCTTGTCGTAGATGTTTCCAGTAGTCAACTTTCATTCGTCGGGTGGCAAAAGAGAATGCATTAGATGTTTCCACAACAGTTTCCACAGCAGTATCTTTCTTCTCATCGTTTTCTACCTTTCCATTCATCTTTTTGATCGTCAAACTTCGTTCCCTGCTGTCCAGCCACTGTCCAGTTTCCCTTCTTGATCTGAGGATCACAACAGGACGACTAATACGAATCCTCTTGTTTTCCTCAGTCCAAACGCAGTATCTCCATCTTCGCTACCCTCAATTCTTCCTAAAGCTGCTGGTAAAGTTGTTCGATGGGGGGGATCTTGGTCATTGCACCCGATAGCACACAAGACCCCTTCTTTACAGAGTTAAGTACAGGTCACCACAGGTTAGAAAACATTCAGCAATGAATGACAAATTAATTCATTGCATTAGAAATCTTCCGTATGAAGAAAGATTGAAGCCCCTTAAATTGCATTCACTTGCAAGACGAAAATGAGGGGAGACATGATTGAAGTTGTACAAGTGGAAGATGGGTATTAATAAAGGGGATATTAATAAGGTCTTGAGAATATCTCTCCAAGACAGAACCTGCAGTAATGGATTCAGATTAGACAAGTTTAGATTTAGAAAGGATATAGGAAAGTATTGGTTTGGAAATAATGTGGTTGATGAATGGAACAGCCTACCTAGTTGGGTTATTGAGGCTAAGACTTTGGTAGTTTCAAATTTAGGTTGATAAATACATGAATGAGAGGGATTGGATTTGAGTGGGACTTGCATATGAGTGGATAGATTTTATCCGAGCTTATTTCTTGGGTGGCATTGAAAATTGGGTTGGACAAATGTTTTGTTAGTGGGACGGATATGTAAGGGACCTGCATAGTATGGGCAAACATGCCTGCTGCAGTGTTCCTCTTTTCTTATGTTCATATGTATATTATGTTTAATAGTTACTACCATGCTCACTTGTTCCTTTAGGTCAGGGAAATATCCACTGAAAAGTAATTATTCCTTGTCACTGGCTATTCTGAATATTAATCTAATGATTATAAAGTGATCATTTGTTGTTTTAAATAGATAAATGTTCAGAAAAAATCTCTGTTTGTATGGTTGTATGTTTGACATCAACTGTATACAGAATATAGATGTAATGTTCGAGCTTCATCTCCTGGTCCTTCCTCTTAACTTGCCTCTTGCCAGATTCACTTCCTCTTGCCTTTTCATACTGTTAAAACTATACATGGAGCCTGCCTCATCTGCCTCTTCCTCAAGGTCATTTCACTTCCTGATCAACCTGAGGCTGAAGACATAATTTTTGACAATTATACGACTTATCTCTGCCTTTATCTTCCAAGTGTCCCATCGTGCACCTGTTTCTCGCCTCTAATACAATATCTGTTTACACAACAAATTTCTGTATTTTAAATATCTTCCATGGTTCTCTACTATATCGTTTGGCTCATTTTCTTCAGCTTCTCATAGCTCTTTCCCTTAATTCTGAAAATAGACTTGTTCTGCATCTCTTTACTAGTTTCTGCCACTTTCCATGATAATTTTACATAATTTATGGTAACTCTGACGTATATTGTAAATGGCGGAGTCTGGAGGAGTTTGAGATAATCAGTCCCTCAACCCAGAGTTGATGAGTTTAGTCCATCTATTTTAAGAAAGGTATAACATATGCGTGGAGAAGTGGCTTATTTATAACAAATAAGTGAGGAGAAGCAAGGGTAGGCGGCGTCACCAGTGGAAAAATCCTCTAGTGTAAGTGGGTCATGACTATAGGTTTGTCAAGCGTTGAGGTATTCCCTGTATCATGATCCCATGATGTTGTGTTTTACACATGTTATGTAAATGATTTACAAAACTAATATGTTAAAGAATGAGAAACTTGTGCACAGTTCGAGAGTTCTTCATTACTTGCCTAAACTGTAGTCATGACTTACTTACACTAACAGATTTTTCAACTCATCTGACTGCAGTATGTAAGTCATGCACATGCTCTACTTTTCTCAAGATTGACGGACTGAACATATCAACTCCAGGCTGAGGGACTGATTACCTCAAACTCATTATCTTCCAGTGTTCTTCTCTGTATTGGGTTAAAGAAGCCACTGACTGGCAAAAAGTTTCCACAGTAAAGATTCCCAAATATTGCTCAAACATCTCAATCTTCAATAGTGAGAGTAAACAGCTTATAATTGGCTTTTATGAAACAAGCAAAAACCATGATGGTTGGAAAACAAAAAAGACAAAAGTCAGTTGGGTCCTCATTCAAGGATGTTTTGTAATTAATTTTGTGTTTAACAATATATTTGCTACTACCTCAGCTTGGGTGCTGCACGCGGCCTCATCAATATACCATGAAGAGTTTGAAGTGATGATGGAACTCAAACAAACACCGACCAGACGTCCCGTTGTTTGTTCTCTGCTGCCCACTGACACTCCAGACTCCAGACATTGTTTAATAGCTTCTTCATCACTTCTCGTGGCTGTTGTAACACCAACAATCATGTACTAGAAGTGTGAAAAAAAATTTCAGTGAAAATACAAAGGAAAAAATTTATAAGAACTATTAAGATATTTTGTCATTAAATATTTCATTTTTAATGATACTCAGTTTTACACCAAAATAAGAAATTACTTGAAAATCAAGTATCAAACAATGTCCAGTTTCACATAATTACTGTTACTTTGTTTTGCATATTCAAAGATCAGTTTTAATGGCACTTTGCTCTTTACTGTCTGCCTATCCAACATTTATTTCCCTACATTGTTCTCCAGTTCTTAGATTTCCTTTTAAAGTTTTTCAATTTTTAATTCATAATATCTTATTGTTCATGTAATTTAAGTCTCTTTCTCTTCTTAAACTCTAATTGCTACTCTAAAGCTACTGCAAGCTTCTCCATCTCCATGACTTTACATTATGTGATGTATTGGATAATATGTCGCATAATGAAATACAACATTTCTGGGCATGGGTTATTCCATTTCTGAAGACACGGATTCCACCAGATGTTTAGGCATAAGAAAATACTTCATGTTTTGGTATATGTATTATTTTATGTTAAGGTATGGGACATCAGAAAGCAGGGTAATACCTTGTTTCACTTTTTTCTCTCTCCCTTTGCATACACACACACACTCACACACAGTAGATAGGGACAGTGGGAATCTCGTTAATCCATTCATGCTCGTCACTAATTAAATTCTTGTCATCTAATTAGTGACACCATAAATGGATTAATGAGATTTCCCACTGTCCCTATTCACTATCTAGCGAAACCCACAGGCAGGGGAGGGGTCCTGCACCAAGCAGGGGGAAAAAAACCCCTTTGGGAACTGACTCACCGATTTTGGAAGAGATATAAGGTGTAGCATAAATGGGAGTGGCACTGCTTGCACGGGGCACCTTGGGTAAAATACCCTACGGTAAAAGGACTCAAGCTCACCATGCAGACTGCCTCCTTTCAACCCTAACATGAAAGGGGACGTTGGTTAGCGGGGGCCCGGGGGAAATTGATGGCTATTTTGGGGAAATTCAGGGGTAAGACAGCTCTCGCCAAAACAGCCGCCCGGGGCATGTCTTAAAAACTGTCATATGCACTCCCAAAGGGGCTGTGTGAAAAAAATGTTTATAATAAAATTTCCCCCCTAGGGGTGTTTCAGCATTCTTCAAAAAGTTTGCGGTTTGTGTTGGGCTAAAAAGCCACTCATACCCGGTCTGGTAAGTTACAATTGCACTTGGTCTAAACTGCGCATCAATTGGCACAAACTCAAAGTAACTTACCGGGTATGTATCAACCCTTTTTCCCCTTGGGTATCATTTCTTGATTGGGGCAACATGTTTTTTGAAGAATTTCCCACACAAAACGTCGGGATTCAACGCCGTCACACCTTTTCACAAGTATTGTTTTTATTCACATCAATCACTAAAGAAGCGGGTCATGCCCTTTAAGTCTTGCGGGTTTTTTTTTTTGAGATTCTTTTATGCACCCAAATGTGCAGATCATGTTTTAGTTTCGTATCCCGCGTAAAATATTCCCTTGATGGGGTTAAAGCAATTTAAGCAAATGCCCCCACCGCACTTTGTTGCCCCCACAAAAAAAGGGAAAAGGGCTGCATAGCATATTCCCCTGCTTGCCAAACTTTCCCCCAAAGCAAACAAGCTTGATTTTTGCTTCTGGGCATAGAAAACATTTAACATCTTTAACATGGTAATAAAGTGGGCGCAGGTTTTTCCTTAATTGTCCCTAAGGTAAGAGATTGATTTTTCTCTTTAAAAACTACCTTTTTGGAACCTGATCTCTTTAAAAAGAGCCAAACCTATGCTAGTACACCGGGTTAAACACGCTTGTAATTATGATTGGATCAACGCCGCAACAGTCACAAAAACGAAACTCCCCGGGGGATATAACAGACGAAATTTTCCCCACCCAGAATCAGATCCCAAGGGAAATTGGGAAAAGGGGGAGGGGGAGTTGCACTGGTCATTAAAAACCGATGAGGAATTGGAAGGAATGGCCCAAATTGACAAAAGGGATTGCACAGGGGGACAATTTAGACGGGGGACATACGATTCATTGCATCATCATAACCCGCCACGAATGCGGGAAGACAAGTGAAAAATATGAAGAGAGCAAAAGAGCATGGTGGACGCACTACTGTGAACCGAAAGCCACATGGGAGAGCAAAGTTACTATTGGGGTGATTAAATCACAAGGAGATTGACGGGAAAACCCGGGGAGCCACAGGGGGCCCCGAAACATGAAACAAAGTAAGGGAGGGCACTGTAAAACCTTACATTTCATTTAGGGACACTACCAAAGAGAATGGAGGATAAACCAGGAAGACTGGCCTTGTGTCACCCGGGGGTACTCGGCACTGAGGCACACATATGAAATCCCCTTGGGGGCTAGTGATAATGTGGATTCTCACTTTGAATCATAGAGTTACAAGTGGAGAGAGTAACAGGGGTAGGATGGGAAAAAACAAACTGCAAAGGGGAAATACTTCACAAAAGAAAAACTTCCTGCAGGAGGTTCACTGGAAGAGAATTGGGGAGGAAAGTCATAGACAATGGGGAAAGTACGAAGACAAAGGATCCAGGAAAATAAAGAGATCAGCAAAAAGCCAGAGGCGAGAATGCACAAAAAGGAGGGGGCCCCCGACAGTACAAAATGACATAGTACAAAAGCAAATTTGACCAAACGTTTTAAAAAGCCACACAGGGGGGAAGACAACAGCGAGAACCAGGGAACACTGTGGAAAAAGGATTTTGGGAAATAACAAGAAACACCTAAATGTGAGGAACCAACATGGGTTTAAGGAGTATTTGCAGTGGAAACGAAAGACCTTGGAAGCAAACATATGGGGAAAAACCAACAAGGGATATACCAACAATGTTTTAAACCCAACATTTGTACCTTTAAACCCCATAGGTGGTGGGGGTGAACAATTTCTTCGTGGGCCTTAAGAGGGGGGAGAAAACTACCTGAGGATGGGAAAATGGCAAAAGTATTCCCATTTTTAAAAAGGACGAAACAAGACTAAACTAAGCCATGTCATTGGCATTTACAGTAGCAAAGCTTGGGGAAATTACAGACATAGTGGGGAGCACCTAAAGGAACAAGATTATAAACGACAACCACACGGATTCATGGAAGGGGAAAACCTGTGTCCAAACCATCTGGAGTTTTATGACAAGGGACCAGAAGTAAACACAAGAGGAGGGGTGGGTTTATTGCTTTCTTCGATTGCAAAAGGGCTTTAACAATTCCCCTCAAAAGTTATTGCAGAACTAGAGGATCTGGACGTAAAAACGGAAGGGGACTGCAGTGGATCAGAGAATACCTGACAGGGGGGCAAAAAGAGTCGTATACAAGATGAGGTTCACAGTGGGGGCCCCGTGATGAGCTGGGGCCCACAGGGGGAGTTTTTAGGACCATGCTATTTTGGTAATTAAACATATGGAAGGATAGATTCAAAGTGCCCCTGTTTTCAGATATGTAATTAATGAGGGGAATCAAACAGTGAGGGTCAGGCAGGGCACAAAAAGACCTGTAAGCAACACATGGTCTAGCAGCTGCCCCCCCCCAATTTAAACCCCCCAAAATCAAAGTCAGAAGATTGGGGGAAGGCAAAGTAGACTGCAGACAGATATAGGCTAGGGGGCCAAAGACTGCAAAACCCCGCTCAAGAGAAACCTTTGGTGTGAATAATACCTGCCATCTCTTGAGCACACATCAACCAGATAACTGCTGCCCAAAA